ATTCGTTCTAGAAAACAAGAGTAAAATAAAGGGAGAAGGAAGCAGCATATGTTTGTTCACAGCCTTGAGTTTGATTCCTGTTCTGTTATTTTAGGAAGAATGTCTATTTCAAAGGAGCAGAGATTGGGTTGGGGGCAGCCATGGGCGCCACAATAGAATTCAACCCATGCAGAGGTTGAAAAAAGTTAAGTCTAGATAGAGGAGAGGTGAAGGTGGAATAAAAAGGATCCCTTGGGAGGCCAGCTATCTTTTTCTCCGGTCTCCTCAATTTGGCTCAGTAGGCTGCTCCTACCCCGTTCCAGAGGCAAGTTGAAGTCAAAGAGGAAACTACGGTTGTGACCTCAACACATACACAGGAAACAAACCAGCACAGCTCCTCTGGAGTGGCCTGTGATGCTCACATGGTGTCATGGCGTCGGCGGTGCAGGGACAGATGGTCAGAGCGAGAAAAGCTGCGGTTGCAGTCTGTGCACTGGAATGGTTTGATGCCTGTGTGCTTACGGAAATGGCGTGTGAGCTCATCTGAGCGAGCAAATTTCCAGGTGCAGCCATCCCAGGTGCATTTATAAGGCTTCTCTCCTGTAAAGGAATATGAAAAAACAAAGGAAGTCAGAGAAGAGATGATTGGCTCCAAGAAAGATAACAGAATACATACATAACTTTTATCAAAGCTTTAGTTAAAGGTAGAGGCAAGCCAGGCATAACGGTGCAAGCTTGTAATCCTAGCTACTCCAGATGCTGAAGCAGAAGGATTCCAAGTTATAGGCTAGCCTGAACACTTTAGGGAGACTGTTTCAAAATTTTAAAAATAAGTCAGGTGTGGTGAGGCATGTCTTTAATCCCAATGCTCTGGAGGCTGAGGCAGGATGATTGCAATGAGTTTGAAGCCAGTTTGGGCTATAGAGTGAGTTCAAGGCCACCCTGAACCATGTAGGAAGACACTGTCTAAAAGATGAAAAAAGAATTAAGAGTATAAAAAGAGGGTTATACCTTTGGAGCCAGTTGACTATAGATTGAAATTGTAACCTTAAAGTGAACCTTTCCTCCTTTAACTTTGGGTGTCAATGAGAAAAGTAATTAAAGCAAAAGCCAAGTTAGTAGAACAACAACAACAACAAAAAAAATGCTGTGGCTCAAACAAACTTTCATTTGAATTCTGGCTCTACCACACTAGTTTTATGATTTTAAATACTCATTTTTCCATATCTGAGTCTTTGATCTCTCAATTCTTTGGTGAGGGGGCAGTAAAAGTATCTCCCAAGGAGCAGTAAAACATTTTATTTGTTAAAAAGATAAGTTATCAAGCAATAGAACTGATATCCAAAAACAAGGATTTTTACACTTTTCCACTCTATCACATTGTACTTATTATATCATTTTCTCTAATACTTCGTATAGAACAGCCTAAAAGAGTCATATTCAAAAAAAATGTGTGATTCAATGGAAAGGACTTTCAGCTAAAGCTACAGACTTTTTTCTGCGTAATGTCAGAAATTCAAATGTATGGAATGGCGTGGAGCAAGATGCCAGGCTAAATTAAAAAAAAAACAAAACTCAGTGCTCAGAAGCCTCAGGTTGCATTTGAATTATATATGGGATACGTAAATTCAAAATAGAAAAATAAATGAAAAAAAGTAGTATAAAATCTTTAGCAATTTATGACCTCCCTCTCTCTCAATATATGTGTGTGTGTGTGTGTGTGTGTGTGTGTGTGTCTGTCTGTCTGTCTGTCTGTATACACTATACTTGTGTATTCAGAATAAAGGCAATATAAATCTACACAAATGTATATAATTAGAGAAATTGTTAATATGCAGCAAAGAGAAGAAAAGGAATGATGAAAATAAGACATTTTAAATTTTTTTACATCTTTTGGTACTGTTTGAATGCTTTAAAATTACATTTTATATAAAACTTTTAAATAAAAAAGGAAAGGTGTATGACAACACATAAATATTAACTGATTCAGTCTGTGTTATATGATTAGAGTTATATTTGGTTTCTTAATATAGTTCTCTGTTTTCAATCTACTACAAAAATCATCTATTATTTCATATCAGAAAAAATAATGCAGACACAAAATGCATTGGTATTCTAATGTTCTATCTTCTGACTCTTGCTCTACTTCCTTCTGATAAATTTCATAGGATATTTAATTTGTTGCTACTTCAAAGTCTAGTGGTAACCTACTTTGCACTTACTATTTTTCATCTTACTTCTGACCAACTAATCCTACTAAGCTTTCATGAACTGTATAACTTTCATATAATGAAGTGCAGAGCAGAATCCAGTCTAAATCACAGGTTTGCACCATGTAAAGGCAATAATTTTGATGATTAATGTTATTAAATATTGGTCATTTCAATATTCAGAAATCACTACATTAGCTGCTATGAGTGAGATAGAGATGGATGTTTTGAGACCAAAAAAATGGTCAATGAAATGTTATCAAATAAGAAAAACCTACTGAATGACTACACATATGTGCGAGCACGCGCACGCACACAAACCCACACACACACACACACACACACACACTCCAGACACAGGGATATCCAAAAAGCTAAATGGAAATTTATTATCAGTGGGAAGAATGAAATTTTAGTGTTAGAGAGTGTAAATAGGATCTGCACTTTTTGTTTTCTATAATTTTATACTGTCTCCAAACAACTCTCACACTGCTATCTATACATTTTGTTGTACTCTCTCAAGACTTTCTCCTGAGAATCCCTATTTTCACTGCACATAAATGAAACAAAACTGACTTGCAAAGCAACCACACTTTGTGGTGATCAGGGCTCATTTGGTATAACACACAAATTGTAACAACTCAGTAGAGACCCATCTTACTATATAAAATGGAGTTACCTTTTATTGTCATTGAACAAGCTTCTCTTTTAGCTAACTTCATATGACACAATCCATAACCTCAATCAATTTATCATCTAAATTAAAGAACAAAACATATAAAAAGAAAAGATAATTCACATTATAAACATATACACTGTGTGACAAGGAGAGTCCATTGCTTGATCTTTGGGCTAGTGTGAAAACACTGAAATGTAGACACGGGTATATTCAGATGCATAGAGCAGAAGGCATAAAGCAATCCAATCAATTGGAGGCAAGGTCTGGTAAGGCAAGGCAGTGAATGGTACATAATATTAGCCACCTTTGCAAATGGGGCATCTTTACAGAAGAACTATGAGACGATCCATATTATAAAAGCCAGATTAAAAATTTGGGTTAAGAAAAATAATTTAGACTTTAACATTTTAGGCACTAATACCACAAAGGGAAGTTTGCCCAATGTACAGATTATATTTCAAATTCATTGGCAGCAGAAAATTTTAAAATAAAAACAAACTAAAAATTTGATTCATTATCTTCATATGTCAGCTTTAAACCACGTCAGTGATCGTTCCCCAACCAGACAGAGAGCTCCACCTGTGCTTTCTCTCTTTCATAGTACACCACTTCATGAAGCCAGTAGAGTGTATATTAGGTTACCACAGAACATTTCGTAAACTTGAGAATGACTTGCTCAAAGTTGTACATGAAAATTATCTAGCCATAATGTGTAATGCAGATTACAGTAATTAAGAGGTCACTGATACATAAAGTAGGTGAAGAAGTCAATTATTTGTTGAACTGATATGAGTCAATAATAAATGTAAGAAAAAATCCTAAGCTGTTGAGAGCAAAACTAGAATTGAACAGATACAAATAATGACTAAAATTTACTGTGTCTTTACTACATGTCCGTTACTATTTTAAATGTTTTATAGCTACTACTCACACATACAGGGTAATGAGAGGTAAAGTGACTTTCAGCAATCAGTAACAGATTGAGATGTCAAATACAATGGTGTAGCTTCACAGTGTATTTATATCTCTCAAAAACTATTCAAAATAAGCAATAAATAATAAAATTTAGAAAAATAACTGTGGGAACATAAGAATACTAGGAATCAATGATAAATTTTGAGCCTAGGAGAATAGATGGTGCTATTTTAAAATACTGGGACTTGGCAGTATATTTATACAGTTGCACCTGTTTTTCCTGCTTTGCATGATTGCAAGTTTAAAGGAGATAAAATGCTGCATTGTATACTAGAGGGGTTTTCCAGGTAAATAAGAGCTACATAGCAGTCTGTTAAAGAATATATGTACCAAAAACAGGGATATCACTCTCTAGAATCCCTTGATAGTGGAATACAATAATTGGAGGGCAGTAGATCAGGCAATTTCCTTTGTCCCAAGGAACCTGTGTAATACTAGCAATAGAGAAAAGAATACCTAGATTGTGTACCAAGGTTTCATTTTGAGGAGATTTTCCCACACACTAAAAGTGTGATTACTGGTAAATTTCCCAACTACAAATGACACTCCTATCCACCCAGTTATCCAAAGCAGAAAGCCAAGAATCATCAGAATCTACTCAGTCATCAATATACCTCCTATCCCCTCTGTTGACAGCATCCTAGTCAGAGATTCATCATTTTTTGTCTGTTCACTACATTGTCCTCTTAATCGGCCTTCTCTCTTCCACTCTTGCACTGCAGTACTTCTCACACTCACCACTTCACTCAATAATGCCCTAGCTAGGCTTGGCTTTTGTCAGTTATTAACAAGGCAAGCTTATTCCCACCATTTAGCTATGGTACTGTCTAGCTAATAAAACTTTCTCTAAACTTTGTGCATAGAAGATTTTTTCTCATATTGCTTACTTTCCTAATATAAACACTACTTTATCAAATAATTGAATAGGGTTTTTATGTAAATAGTTGGGAGGGGCACTGCTTAAGATAGGCTTAGGGAAAAATTTTCCCGGGCAGAAGATATTTAATAAGTGTTATAAAATAAAACCAATCAGAATCCCAATTCCAAAGGTCTTTTAAAATATTGTTAGGACTTTAAATTTCATTCAGAGTATTATGGAAAACCATTGGTCTATTTTAAGCTGCAGTGCATAAATGATCTGATTTACATTTAAACAAAACAAAAGGAAAAGATTTAAATCTTTTAACTTGACTGAAGAATGAATTGTAGTGAGGAAAGAATTAAGGTAAGAAGACCAATTAGGGCACTACAATAGTTCAAGGAGGGGACTGCATACAGAATTGCCACCAACTCACACTACTACAACTTAAGCAGTTAAGGCAATTTAACTTGCTTCTTTGAAGTGCCTTCCAGATGTCCCACTGAGATCGTATATCCATGGCTTCAAGTCAATCCTAAGAACTGAGTAGGATGTAGAGGTACAAGATCCCAACAATGAATGTAACTGTACTGTATCCCTAAAATGTACCAATAAACTCAATTAAAGCTGAAAAAAAAATAAAATCATGAAAAAAAAAAGAATAAACCCATTTGCCCATCAGTTGGAAACTGGATAAAGAAGATGTGGTTTTTCTATAAAATGGAATACTACTCAGCCATAAAGAATGAGAAATCAGATTCATTCATAGGAAAATGGATACATATTGAGGATATACTCCTAAGTGAAGTAAATAAGACACACGTGTAAATACCAAATAGTTTCTCTGGTGTGAAAAACTATAATAGTACATAAGATCCTAATGAGATAATTGACAATGTGAAATAGGAAGAAAAGAGCTAAAGGTGTAGGGGAAGATGGAAGGGTAGGGGAAATGTAATAAGGGAAAAGAAAAAATATGAGAAAATGAAAAAAATGGAAATAAAGTGTTTGTAAATGGGGAGGGGAGGAGGGGGTGAATGGACAGGGCAGGGATAAGGGGAAAAAATGAGAACCAAGACCTGTCATATAAAGGTACAAGATCCCAATAATGAATGTAACTGTACTGTATACCCAAAATGTAACAATAAACTCAATGAGGAAAAAAAGAATAATCCTGAATTTAAATAAAGTAAAATTCAATTGGATACCAATTGCCACAATTCACTAGGCATCTACTTTCATGATTATTTATTAAGTAAGCCTTTAACTTAAACAACTGAAAGCTAAGGCCTGTCATTTTCTCCCCTCATAAAAGAATCTGAACCCACTATGGGGGGAAAGGCACTTAAATATGAAAATTATAAGGGCTGATAAAACATGTGATGTATGTTCAAATAAAAAATTATCACAGCAAAAGCATACTGCCATTAATCCACTGAAAATACTCCTGTTCTTTGAACAATCTTATCCAATGCTTTTTCTCACCTTCTGAAGCAGTTTTGGGTGCTCTGATTTTTGTTGTTGTTTTTATTAATTTTATTTCTATATTTTAGGTATAAAATGTAATGACATTCATTACTGGATATTTGTAACCTTACATAATCCATCTTGCTTCTTATTTTTGCCCCATTCCCCTGCCGTCCCTTCAACCCCTCCACTTCTCCCTCTTTACAAATAATTTGTTTCCATTTTTCCATTTTCTCATATTAATTCCAATCCCCTTTTTCCTTTTCCCAATCCCTCCCACTTCTTCCCCTTTGGACCTTTCTGTCCTATTTCACAATATCTATTATACCTTTTGATTCTTATTTATACTTTCAGTTTCTTACACCAGAGAAACTATGCAGAATTTACATGTGTGTCCTATTTATTTCACTTAAGAGTGTTACCTCAATTTGCATGTGTTTAGCTCTGTAATTTCTCATTCTTTATGGCTGAGTAGTACTCCATTTTATTAAAATACACACAGACACACACACACACACACACACACACACATTTTCTTTATCCAGTCTCCAGTTTCTGTTTTGTATCTTCTACAAGGTGTGATAAAATATATGGCGAGTACTGCTGCCATTCCATAAAAGTGCAGGCTCATAGAAATATTACAGTGTATTCTTAAATATCTTATTCACTGGATCTGGCCCTCTGAGTTTTCCAGCTCTTCTCAAATTCAAATGTTGGCCATGAAAGGCCAACATCTAGCCACAGAAGAGGACTTCCAGAACTGCTTCAAAAAGTAGTAAGAACAATTCATACATGTGCTCCAATTGAGAGGAAGTCTTTTAAGGAGGATTAATGACAATCTGTCTTTTACTGAAATATATTTAAAATTTTTAAACACACACCGTATATTTTTAACACATTTCATAAATACAAGTAAATAATATCTCTTGTTAATTCAAGAATAGAGGTTAAGAGAGGGAGAGAGGATGTAGTGGTGAGTAAAAGGATAAAAAATGATCAAGATAAATTATACACATGTACTAAATCTCCAAAATGAAGGAAATAATTATGTACTGCAAGCATAAACTAATTCTAAAAAGAATACAGGGATGACATAGAAAAGACAGCTAGACCTTTACTACTTTAAAGCAATTCCATTCCAAATTGGGAATTCCAGAAGGATAAATGATAGGATGCATTGGAATTCAGGCCATAGGGTTCCAAACTAAAATAAATTACATGGAATCTCCTAGTCCAATCCCCTCATTTTACAGCTGGGGAAATCTGGGATCAAAAAGATAGGAAAAATGCTATCAGATGACACATACTTAGTAAAGAGATTTGTGATTAGAACTCAAGTGTTATAAGTTCATTTTTCCCTCAATACTTTCAAGAAGCATACTTTTATAACTTATAAAGTGATATATGAATTAATGTGACCTGATGTCTTTGTAAATGTGAGAACAGAATTTAGTAAGGAAAGAACATCTTAAACTCAAACTATGTGAATAAATCTATGATATATGTATGCTAAAATTATACCACATTGCCTCTCACTAAATGAGTCCATTCAACTACCTTCAAGTCTGCTTTCACATTTTATAACTATCTGGAAAATACAGGTAAAAGATTGAAACTCACCAATCTCAACATCACAGGGGCAAGAAAATTGCATGTGTTTTCTAATGTTATGAAATAGAAATTACACAAGCCGAGCGTGGTGGCACACACCTGCAATTGGAAGGCTGAAGTGGTAGGATCCTTGGGAGTTCAAGGCCAGCCTGGACTACATAGTGAGTTCAAGGCCAGCTTCAACTACATAGTGAGACCATGTCTCAAAAACTAAAAACAAAAAACAAATGAACAAAAAATTGGATAAAGCACACACCACCCTTTGTGACATATTGTGGCCAAAAACTGAACTTAAATCTGATTAATCTTCCAGACATAGTTATCCTTTTACAAGGATTTGGGGAAACATCAAATATGTTAAATTAACACAATGATAATGTAATCAAGAAAATTTTAAAAATGCTAAACTGAACTGGACAAATGACTCAGGCTCTTCAATAAATAAAATGAAAGAAAAACTGAGAGGGGTAAAACTTAATATTGAAAAGATAACTAAAACATATTAACCAAATTTAATGAATCGCCCTTCATTAGTACTGATTTGAACAACTTTTAAAAAAATTTATCAAATATTCTAGATTTGGTATTAAGCAATTTTGTGTGCTAATAATATTGAGGTTATTTTTAACTATCAAGATATATTATGAAGTATTTGTGACTAAAATGTAAGATTTTTAGAATTTTCTTCAAAATAATACAATGGAGAGTGGAAAATTAGTGAGAATATAGACAAAACAAAATTGGCCATATACTAATATAATTCTTGTAGTTGGATGATGAGTACTTTCAAGTACAGTAAACTATTCTGATTTCTCATGTTGAAAATTTAAGTTTAAGTACTTAAATACATATTGAAATCAGCATTCATCTGCATGGATAAATAAAACATCAATAATTAAAAATAGTTCCATGGGAATGTTGCAACAATGCAGCCTGAAAATCAATCACCTGTTTTTACCCTCAAGGCAAAGCCATGAGGTCCCTGGTAACTTCTTCTTGAAGTTTAAAACAGCAAGTAACACACACATTTTAGAAGAAAGGAGGGCCTCTTCTTTTACCAATGTGTCTGAGTCCCACTTCTAGCGTGGAGATCACAGCCAGGGTGGTGGCGCCCACCTGTAATCCCAGCACTGAGGAGGCTGAGGCAGGAAGATTGCTGTGAGTTCAAGGCCTGAGCTACATAGTGAGCTCCAGTTCAGTCTCAACTAATAGTGAGACCCTGTCTCATAAAACCAAAATAAATAAATAAATAAATAAAATAAAGTGGAGCTCACTGAAGAGGAGTTATCAAGGCAAAGGCAAAAAATGATGGTCAATGAGCTGCATTTAGCTTCTAGGCAAGTTTCTTTGAATCTCTAGTTTGATTAATAATTGAAGTAAATAACAACATTCAAAATTTAAGATATTCCTCATAAAAACCTTAATTTTGATTTTTAAAAATTATTGATTTCATAATATTCAGCTGCAGTTGGTTAGCAGCTATCTTTCTTTAAATCAGGCATATGCCCTCCATTTTGACAAAATCCTCATCAGATCAGCTTTATTTATTTATATGGACCTTTCTTTTAATGTTAACAAAGGCACATTGTAGGTTATTGGATGCTGCTGCACTTCAAAAATTTGATTTAATTTCACTTAAATATTTTTGTGCTTCTTCACACTCAGCCAAACCTGTGGGAGCCTAGAATTAAAGGAAAGAATAATGTATTAGCTGTCTTAAGTTTTGCTTCAGTATTATGTCTTCCCAATTAGAAATATATGTTATTTACTACTGATCATGACTACTCAAAAGACACCAGGTTTCATGTTTTTCTAAGCTGGTTTTATAAGAGTGGTCTTGATAGGAAAGACAAGGGGGATAAAACCATGAATGGGGCCTATACCTGAGTATAAATAAAGGGGTCTTTGTTTCAAGATTTCCTTCTCTTGTAGCTTTCAGAGACTCCTGCTCCTGTGTGTGTGTGTGTGTGTGTGTGTGTACATCTGTATGTGGTGGGGGTAAGATGGTGGCAGTTGGCAGACCTGTATGGACTCTGCGGTGAGCTTTCAGGTGAGAGCTTTTGGTGTATACTTTGTTGCATCCTGCAAAGTCACATTGGTGAATCCGTCTTCTCTTCAAATCAAGTGACTCTTCTCCCTGCATTTGGGTCATTATTCTTGATCTAAGCAAAGAAAGAGAGATAAGGCCAAAGTGACTTTAAAGTGGAGGCTAAAGAAATTGACTTGAATACAGTGGCACCTTCTCATATCAATATTTATTTTATGTTATTAAATTCCAAGCCCAACAAAGAGAAAATAATTGAAATAATGTAAATAATTCTCTCAACTGCACCATTCTGTTCACTAAGTGCTGGTCCCTTTGAAAGCATGGGAGGTGGTTATGTTTCCCTAATTGATGGTGTTCCAGAAGAGTGTGAGTATGACACTTTAATTAGTGTCACTCTTGTGCTTAAAGAAGTGCATGTTTCAGACAACACAGTTGCTAAGTATGAACCAAATGCTTCCATTTAATTTCAACACTGGAAGTTAAGTCTGTTTTACATTTATATACAGAAACACTAGATAACTGTAGCTTATGAAGATTTTGAAGAGTTTTCAAGGATAAAATTGATGATCTATAGTTAGAAAATAACTCAACCATAACATGTTCATACATGCACATATGTCCACACAAACTTGTGCAGGAAGAGAGTTTATCTACATTTTGTTATTTCTAAATTTTTGCTTTTGTTTCTGGTAATTAGTCCCATCTCTACGCATGCAAAACATGCACACATACACACACACACAGAGACTTAGAGACAAAAGTACTCACCCTTGCTGCAGTCCTTGTAGATTTGGTAAGGCTGAGGATCCACTCTCAATTAAACTCTCTTCACTGTCACTTGGAATCTCCAGTGGAGACATGGAGGTGGGGTCAACTTTCACTAAGAACAAAGAAAGGAGGCAGTATAGGCCAGAATGTATTTGCCTCTGCAATCATTTTCTGGATTTCCATTTTGGCCCACACTGAGAGGTGGCAGTGAGACACAGAAATAAAGAAAATGGAAAGATAGAAGTGTAATTGCATGGAATGAAATTTTTTTTAATTTATCACAGTAAAGAAGAGAAATGCCTTGAAGGAAAGTTAGGAATAATTGCTCGGGTGCCACCAGAATGTGAACTGTTCTAGGATATGATTTGGATATGAGCCATGTCTCTATCTCCAGCTGCCAGGAAAAGGTCTCCCAAAAAGTTGGGTTCGGTACATGTATATTTGAACTCTCAATAGTTTCCTGGCTGTTCTGAATTACTTTCTACTATTATATTCCAGATAATACATCTTCCTTGGTTTTTGCCTTTCTAAGCTAAAATGAGGCAATGAGGAAAAATGTACCTAGTAGTTGCTTGATACATGTTAGCACTCTTCCTGTTTGGCTATGTTTGGAAAGGCCCTCAAATATTTTGTTTTAATTACAATGATGTGCAGAGGTCCTGGGTTCAATCCACAGCACCAAAAATCTTTGGGTTTTGTTGTTGTTATTGATTTTTGGAGTTTTTTTTGTTTTGTTTTGTTTTTGGTACTGGGGCTCAAACTCACAATTTTGTGCTTACAAGGGTTGTTGGCTACAGAGGCAGCACTGGAATACCTTAGGCTGTTTTCTATGGAAGATTCTGGTCAGAGCTCAAAAGACCAGAAAGCTTATAAAGACCAGGCTCAGGAGGTTTCTGCTGGGAAGAAGGACTTCATTGGCTGTTGGACTCCAGATAATGTGTGTTATGGCCTGGCAGAAAGTTTGTGTGCATTATGTTTATGTCCAGAGACTTGGCCTGAGACTAAAGGTGGTAGACTAATTCATCTTGCAGAAGAAATTTCAAGGCAGTCAACTATTCAGGCAATGGCATGGCTACTGTTGGGGGCTTTTAGCCAGATATATATGGAGAATCAAGAGCTAAGAGCCCAGCAGAATGATTTAAAACTTTTTGAGTTGGGCCAGAAGGGAAGCTCCAGTAAAGCTGGGAAATGTAATGATAGAGCAGAGCAGATCTTGATTGTTGAGAAGGAACAGGAGAATAGAAAAGATGGTCTGTAATCAACAGGACCCTACTCTTTGCAGTCTCAGAATTGTAAAGGTAAAAAATTTCACTTTGAGGAGAAAGGCCCAGAGGACAATGTTCCAAAAGGGCAGGAGCCACATGATGTTCCAAAATGGTAGCCTAAGGAAGCTGTTCCAAAATGGCAGCAGCCTAGATAATTTGTTCCTCAGGATTGGGTTCAGATTGCTCAGCAATCTAGGCACTTAACCCCTTCAGCCAAGAGAGAGAGAAAACTGGCTACTTCTGCTCCATTTAGCAGCAGACCTTAATGTCATCCACGTGGTGCTGATTTTAGGAGCATGCCAAATGCAAGAGTAGTGACATCAGGAAGGCTTCCACCCAGATTTCAGAAGAAGGCCTGGGAGGCCAGTCAGGGTGCCCCTGACATGGCAGTGTGTGAGCTGTGAGTGTGAAGCTGAAGGTTCATTGGAGACACCGAAGTTTGGAGAAGCAAGGAGTGTGGATTGTCTGAGGATAGCTACAAGGAGGGAGCAGAGCCAATCAAAGAGAGAAGCCCTGGGAGCTACAAGCACCAAAAACATCATAGGGGTGGAGCCACCAAAACCCTTTGGACTTCACAACTTGCCAGATTGATTGGGGATGCTGGAAATGGAACTGTGGGGTTTAATGTTTCTCCTACTCGATTTTGGACTTACTCTGGTTGATTTCCTTTGTATCACGCTATGTGTACCTTTTGGAATGGTAATGTTTATTTTGTGCCATTGAATGTTGGAAGTGTTTAACTTTCTTCTCATTTGTACAGGGGCTCGAAGCTAAGACTTTGCTTAAATCTCAGAGGAAACTTGGGACTTGGACTATTCAGCAATGCCAAAACTCTTATTATTTTGGCTACTCTTAGAGATGGATTAAAGGCCTTTTGTATAAAGGAATGTACATGAGTTGGGGGGGCAGGGACAGAATGTTATGGTTTGGGTGTAGATGTCCTCCCAAACCTCTCATAGTCATAGGTTTGATCTAGAGTGTGAAGCTGGAATTCATTCATGATGCAATACTACACTCAGTGTCACTCAGATTAAGGGTTTGAGTGCTACCCACCCTAACTAGTCTAAATAAGATAAAAGTGGCAGGGGGACACTGTAAACTTTCTTGTTACCTTTGCTGCCTTGTGTGTATGACAGTTTGTTTCTGCTCTACCATGCCTGTCTGTCATCCCTGCCTTGGAGTTGCATGATTATGAACTTAAATCTCTACAAATTATAAGCAAAATAAACTGCTTCCCCTCTAACTTTAGGTGTCTGATATTTTGTCTCAGCAATGAGAGAAAAGTAACTAGCACAGGTGGTGTGCACACTCCCAGAGTCAGTAAAATGTTCAAATTTTCTATGTGGCAGAAAAGGGTAAGTGTAAGGTAAGCAGGAATATTTGGCTAATGTAGATGTCTCTGTACTTTGATTTTGTGTGATTCACTAAAAAGTATTAAGTATGCATCTCATTATTTATCCCTGTGTGTGACATGAACATACTAATATCTTAAGTTTGTATACCTTTTAAGAAACAAAAAATGGCATGTGAAAGGTAAAGCATAGTTTTTGATACTTTGTTCTTACAGTCCAATTTTTTTGTGTCTCTCCTACTAAGAGGTAAGCATTTCATTTTGGAGACTACCCAGTTAATGTTCTTAATTTGAAACTATAATGAATATATTTAAAGTTTACTTTGATTATTTAGAGGGACTGTGGTGGAATGATGGATATTATGGGTGGGTGGAAGCAGAGATAAGGAGCTCCTCCAAACCAGCCTTCCATGTTCCCACTAAATTTATCTCAACAAACAAGAAATTTTATTTCCACTTTTTGCTTCTTTCCTTTTTGTTTGGTTTTCCTTTCCTTTGTGGGTCTTGATATCCTTTCTAAAACAAGATTATGAATAAAAATAATTATAAATCAGTGCTACTTTATAACATTTTTTATTCAATAGACCACTGTAGAGTCTCTGCATTTTGATGCTTCCCGTGTTCTTTTTCAGCTTCATGCAAATAGTGATAGATACTAAGGATACATTTTCCTTTCTATTTTTCACTGTCTAGAATTGAACTCAAAGCCTTAAGCTTGCCAGGCAGGCATGGCACTGCTGAGCTATGACCCAGCTACAATTAGTGATAGAATGATCACTAGGACTTTGACATTTCAAGGACAGGGCTCTTGTAATATTCTACATTATAATGAGCTGAAATATGGTTCCTAATAATTTATGTCTACACACAAAAATCAATAGCTTTCCTCTACACAAAAATTGGACTCACTGAGAGAGCAATGTGACAACCTTTCACAATAGCATCCCAAAAATTGAAATACCTTGGAATCAACCTCATGAAGGAAATGAAAGACCTCTACTCTGAAAACATAGCACTCTGAAAAAAGAGATAGAGGATGATAATCAAAAAATGAAGGCTGTCTGTTGATCCTGTGTAGGAAAAACCAAATTAGTTAAACTGCTATATAGATTCAATGCAATCCCAATTGAAATTCTAGCAGCATACTTCATGGACCTTGAGAAACAATTCAAAAATTCATTTGGAACAAGAAGTGACCTAGAACAGCAAAAGCGCTTTTAGGTAATACATACAAGGTAGGGTATATCACCATCCCCAACTTGAAACTATACTACAAAGCTACTGTGATAGCAACAACATGTCACTGGCAAAGAAACAGACCTGAGGACCAGTAGAAGAGATTAGAAGATACAGAAACAACTCCAGACACACTGAGCCACCTCATCTTTGACAAAGGAGATAAACTTCCTCGCTGGGGAAAGATAAACTCTTTAAAAAATGGTGCTGGTAAAAAAACTGTATTTCAACTTGCCAAAGATTAAAACTAGACCTTTATCTCTCACCGTGTACTAAACTAAAATCAAAATGGATTAAAGATCTAAATATTAAAGCAAAAATACTAAACAGGATTAAAGAGAGGCTAGGTAGAACTCTTGAAGACATTGGCATAGGAAAAGATTTTATAAATAAAACCTCAACTGCATGAGAACTACCACAGATAATCAATAAGTGGGATATCGTCTTATTATTATAAAGCTTCTGCAGAGCAAAAGAAATGGCCAACAGCATGAAGAGACAACCCACAATGTGGGAAAATTTCACCAGCAGTTCCTCACACTAAGGTCTACTATTTAGAATAAAGAACTTTAAAAATTCAGATCTCCCAAATTTAGAGATGCAATCAAAACTTGGCATCTGAAATGAACAGACATTTCTCAGATAAAGAAGTAAAAAGAGCAAATATACATATGAAGCAATGTTCAACATCACTGGTCATTTGAGAGCTACAAATTAAAACAAGGCTGAGATTTCACCTCATCCCAGAAAGAATGGCTGCTATCATGAAATCAACCAATAAAAAATGCTGGCAGGAAACAGGAACCCTGCTCCACTTCTGGTGGGCATGTAGACTGGTGTAACCACTGTGGAAATCAGTATGGAGTCACCTCAATGAACTAGATAGAATTGGAAGTCTCCTTTGACCCAGCTATTCCCCTGCTGTGTATCTCTCCAAAAGAATTAAAAGAATCACACCCATAGTATTATATGTGCAACTATGTCCATTGCAACAGTTTCTAATAGCTAAGACCTGGAAACAGCCCAATTACCTATCAACTGGAGACTGGTTAAAGAAAATGTGTGTGTTTTTAAATATAAAATGGAGTAGTACTCATGCATAATAAATGACAAATTAGAGACATTCATAGCTAAATGGATGCACATTGAAGTCATACTACTGTAAAGTGAAATAAATAGGACACACATGTGCAAATACCAAATTGTTTCTCCAGTGTGAAATACTGAAAGTGTAGGTGAGGTCTAAAAGGTATAATAATG